CAAGCCATGCAGCCAGTCATTGTTTGCCACGTAAGGTTGACAGAAAATTTGTACTGCAGTTAGGGTACCCATATCGAAGAAAAACGTGGTGCCGTGGTGTGTTCATTTAGATAACGAGTCCACTCCATGTGGCTTTAAATGGTTGGTGCCTTGAATTATACTTGACGGGTCTTTTCCATATACAGTTCGGAGAAAAAAGCGATTTCTTTGTCAATAACAATCTACGTCTCATGTAAACCATATACTAATAACTTGAAGCATTCCAGTATGTGAAAACGAGGTTGTGGGAGCCTTGCCAGCTGGTATCTTCTACGAGAAAGAAGGGACTTCTAAGGGTAGAAGCCGACCCCTCGAAATTATTGGGATGTCGCCTTCCAAAAACACGTTGCTGGTCGATATATACTTCCCTCCTTGCTAAGTTCACCAAGCAAGTAATGGAGGTGACAAGGACGATGCTCATTTCCTTCAATTTTCAAGTTCGAGTTGTCAAGACTCGAGGGTGAGATATTACATCGATGAAAATGAAAGAAATAAATAACATATAAGAGTTTAAGCCATCCTTAACAAGTTTGACATTTTAAAATGAACTTCAAATCTTAATGAAGCATCATAGCTTAGTAAACTCAAACGAGAAATTTATCTCGTCTAAAGATCAAACGAGTATTTGGATTCATGGGTTTAAATGAGTCACCGTCTTGCGAGGAGAAGATAAGAATAATTTCACACATTGTTTAAAAATGAAACATTTGACAACTCCTCAAACAATGTTGTCTTATCGTCCCAAAAAAATGTATATGAATAAATCAAGAGACTTGATTTATCTTAGTACCCAAAAAAATCTTCATCCTTAAGTAAGATACACAATGCTGGTATTCCTCGGTGGTACATATTATGGTACCAAATACATATTGTGAAGAATTTTCAGCCTCTTTTTCCTTCCATCTCGTCTAATATGAATTGCTTTGACAGTTTAATTTCATTTAATTTTATTCAATATATGTTGCCTATTGATTTGTAAATTACTAAATTGCCAAAAAATAGTTAAAAAAAAAAAAGAAAAAGAAATTCAAAGTACAATGATTAAATTAATCGTGCTCATTTAATGCATCCATAGTGGTTAGGCATGCGTATGGGTAATCTAAATCAATATAATGCTAGTTTTGTTAAGACATGATAATGATATATACTAGCATTATATATTGAGCTATATTTTAGTATTTTATCGATGTAAGATTTATTTCTTAACACGCCTTTACAAGATGATAATTTGTTTGAACAGACCAATCTTGAATTTTGTGTGCTCATTTGAGTTTTAGCCAGATCGAATAATTCGTTGGAGTCTATTACCATATTAAAACTTAAGGTTCCATTTTAAAATATCAATCTTATTAAGAGTAGTCTAATTAGTCTTTTTATATTGATTTATATTCACTTAACATAGATTCCATATTCTTAGACATGCTTATCGGTTACACAATTGTATGTTATATTGTTATACGACAGTGATAGTCTCGTCTTTGAGGTCGAGGAAAAAAAAGAAAAGTTTTATACAAACAATTCAATAAATGAATCAATGACCACGTCTCAAGTTATGTTCAATTGACCTTGTTGGTAGAAAAATGTTCCATCCAGCGCCATTAATGGAATTGCGGCCATATGGCCTCCTTACACAGTGCCACCTGAATTAAGATGTTGTTCTTGGCCACGACTTGGTAGAAAAATGTTCCATCCAGAGCCATTAATGGAATTGAGGCCATATGGCCTCCTTACACAGTGCCACCTGAATTAAGATGTTGTTCTTGGCCACGAACGGTGGTCCCTTGATCGAATGGACCCAATATATAATTTGGGATTGAATCCGATTAATTTTCATGTTACATGAGAAAGATATTTGCCATGCCCTACAAGATTAGGAGTATATATATGTTTGGTAAAGCTTAGATTTTCATGAAAGTAAATTTTTGTTTTTTTTTTCTTATTTATGATAGGTGTTATGATCATGCACAACTCAAGTCAAATGAATGTGGAACGTTAAAGATATAATTTAAATGAATTAGTTTGTAATTTCTCAGTATTAAGTTAAACTTTTAGATGATATACTTCGACTCGTCTCTTCAAGAGTACACAAACTATCCTTTTTCGGCTTTCTCCTTAATTCATCCTTTTATCTTTAAAAACTAGCAACTCTTTTCTCTTATTTATTTATTTTTAAATATGTGCATGTAAATTCAGTCTTTGCTTGTTAGTGTTTAAGTGATTAAAATTTGTAGTCCTACAGAAATACTGCATAGTTAATACGTGAATAGTAGTTGTGGATTCTACAGAATTTGTAGATAAAAAATATGTTTGACTAAGTTAGATTATATTTTAAGCTTTGCTTAAATATGAACTTTAGGGGGGGTGTATTCCATTGAGACTTTTAAATACTTTTTGAAGTTTAAAAAGTTTAGGGGTATTCAATGTAGACTTTTGAAAATTTTCTAAATGTATTGATGTATTCAATTAAGATTTTTATAAATTTTTAAAAAGTCTTTAAAAGTCACGATGCATTCAATTAAAACTTTTTAGAAATCTCTATAAGTCGTGGGGTATTCAATTTTTTATGGCTTTAAGAGACTTTTATAAAAGTCTTCATGGTATTAACTTTTAAGCAAAAAGTACTAAAATAAAATCTCAAAACTTGTCTCTCATTAATCACAAAATTTTAGGAGGCTTTCACATTAAAAAAATAAAATAAAATAATATTTTTTGGTAGAAAAATGTTCCATCCAGAGACATTAATGGAATTGTGGCCATATGGCCTCCTTACACAGTGCCACCTGAATTAAGATGTTGTTCTTGGCCACGAACGGTGGTCCCTTGATCGAATGGACCCAATATAAAATTTGGGATTGGATCCGATTAATTTTCATGTTACATGAGAAAGATATTTGCCATGCCCTACAAGATTAGGAGTATATATATGTTCGGTAAAGCTTAAATTTTCATGAAAGTAATTTTTTGTTTTTTTTTTTCTTATTATGATACGTGTTATGATTATGCACAACTCAAGTCAAATGGGATGTGGAACGTTACATATATAATTTAAATGAATTAGTTAGTAATTTCTCAGTATTAAGTTAAACTTTTAGATGGTATAGTTCGACTCGCCTCTTCAAGAGTACACAAACTATCCTTAATTCATCCATTATCTTGAAAAACGAGCAACTCTTTTCTCTTATTTATTTATTTTTAAATATGTGCATGTAAATTCAGTCTTTGCTTGTTTGTGTTTAAGTGATTAAAATTTGTAGTCCAGAAGTACTGCATAGTTAATACGTGGATATATAGTAGTTGTAGATCCTACAGAATTTGTAGATTAAAAAAATGTTTGACTAAGTTAGATTATATTTTAAGCTTTGCTTAAATATGAACTTTAGGAAAGTGTATTCAATTGAGATTTTTAATTATTTTTTGGGATTTAAGAAGTTTAGGGGTATTCAATATAGACTTTTGAAAACTCTATAAAAGTATTGGTGTATTCAATTAAGATTCTTATAAAGTTTTAAAAAGTCTTTAAAAATCACGGGGTATTCAATTAAAGTTTCGGAGTACTCAATATCCATGGTACTAATTTTTAAGAAGAAAGTACTAAAATAAAATCTTAAAACTTGTCTCTCATTAATCACAAAATTTTGGGAGACTTTTACATTAAAAAAAGAAAAATAAATTAATATCTATTTTTTTTTTCAATATTTCTCTTTCCTTTTCCCTTCTACGAAAATTATGATTAAATTTTTTTTTTCTATTGATTATAGTAGTTTCTATTTTTCATTTTCTCTCTCTTATTATTTATTTATATTTTATATGAAAGAATTAAATTGTATTCTTATAATTTTTTTTCTTTTTTCATTCATTTTTTCTGAAAAATATTTATTTTAAATTGAATTATAAAATTTTATATAGACTAATTTATAATTAAATTTAAATATATTTATTTATTTAAATTTAAAGGTATATTATATAAATAATATTGAATATTAAATTTATTTTTTATATGTATAATAATTATTATTTATTTAATTAAGGTCTTAAAATTATGGGAAATTGTGAGAAGCGTTACCTCGTATACAATAATTTCATAATATTGCATTAGAACCTCATAAATTCTATCTCAAATGAAAATTTTCAAAAGTCTTTTGCATTCTACAAAAGTCTCTAAAAGTTTTTCTCCACCTCTTACGAGGGAATTTTCCACTATCGAGTTACACCCAAGTAATTACTATTTATAAAAGTTTTAAAATGAAAGTTTATAAAAATCTACAAAAGACTTCCACTAATTTCATACAAATCTTTAAAACATCCATAATATCCACATAAGTCATCACTTAAAGTTTTCAAAAGTCCCAATCGAATACACTCTCTAAAATATTATGATGACAATAATTACAAGAGGTAGGGATTAACCAAAACATAAAATCCCATGTAGCAACCCTAGCATGGTATAAACAAGGATAGAAGGTATAAAACAAACATCAAAGGATAATACATTATTAATAGGGTTCGGTAGATATCAGATAGGAGGGTCCATTGGTGACTTACCATTAGCTGTATGGAAAGCTAATTCTGTGATAGACCTTTCCATTCCAATTCAAGCAGTTCTTTTCACTTATCCACTTGTGCATATAAATAAGCTCACAATTCTTCATTATAAACACACGAACAGATAAAATACATTTTTCTACAACCAAAAAATGGCCAAATTGACATTATTAGGTCTAAAAGTTTTTCTTCTGTTTGTTATCGCATGTGTTCTGGCATTTTCGTCTAGACAATCGCGTGCTGGCCGGTGCATTTTACAGGATTTTCAAGTTACTTGGGCGGAATCTCACATCAGGCAACTTGATGCAGGAAGAGCCATTCAACTTGTTCTAGATCAAAACTCAGGTACAACCTTTTTTTTTTCCATATATAATTCTTGTATAAACTAAATATAGATTCCTACAATGATCAGATGACAAAAATAAGTATTTGAATATTAATTAGGATGCGGATTTGCTTCAAAGTACAAGTATTTGTTCGGACGTGTTAGCATGAAAATCAAGCTCGTTCCTGGCGATTCTGCAGGAACAGTTACGGCCTTTTATGTGAGTTCATTCTTTAATCAGAACATCGTGCAAATTAAGCGTATGTAATTTGAATTTCTTTTCAAATTTACTCAAGTTTAGTACCATTCCGAACTTGCCATCCTTTTCCCAAATATTTCATTTTTGTGGGCTTGCATTTATTTGTAGTTCTATTGTGTCGTAGATGAACTCAGACACAGACTCGGTACGAGACGAGCTAGACTTTGAATTCTTGGGTAACCGGACTGGACAGCCTTACACAGTTCAAACTAATGTCTATGCTCACGGGAAAGGAGACAGGGAAGAAAGGATCAACCTTTGGTTTGATCCTTCTGCAGAATTCCATACTTACTCAATCATGTGGAACCATCGTCAAGTTGTGTAAGTTCCCGTGCAATATCTCGTGTACCCTTGACATACTTCACGTCCCTATCCTCTTCAAATTAAATTAACGAATTGTGGGTGAAGTTCGTGTCAATTTAACGTTGCTTTTATGGGCTTTTTTGGTAGCTTCTATGTGGATGAAGTACCAATTAGGGTTTACAAGAACAATGAAGCCAAAGGTATTCCATACCCAAAGTTCCAGCCCATGGGAGTGTTTTCCACCTTATGGGAAGCAGATGATTGGGCAACAAGGGGTGGCCTTGAGAAAATAGATTGGAGCAAGGCCCCATTCTATGCATATTACAAGGATTTCGACATCGAAGGTTGCCCTGTGCCAGGCCCACAAAATTGTGCCTCAAATGCTAACAATTGGTGGGAAGGGTCTGCATATCAAGCACTGAGTCCGGTCGAGGCCCAGAGATACCATTGGGTTCGTATGAACCACATGATCTACAATTACTGCACCGACAAGTCCCGGTACCCGGTTACCCCGCCCGAGTGTGTTGCAGGGATCTAAAACTTCATTCTTAATCCTTACAAATCTATACTTACAGCCTATTTATACACTAGTGCGATGTATAAGAAATGAGCCATGCCAATTGCCATGCATATAAAGGGACATGGAGGGAATTGTTTAAAATGTTGTGTGGTTCATATATCCACATCCTATGCCTTGAATTTGTGAGTCCGACAGAAGTGTCAAAAGTCAAAATCATTTTCTTGCTGTATTATTCTCTGTATTTGTTTGAGTCAATAATTTTATAAGTCGCAATTGTGAAAAGGATGTAATTGAAAGTTTCTCAAGTACGGTATAATTGCAATGAATCATCTCATCTAAATTGAAATTGTAAAATAATTCAGTTAATGATTTACTTTTGCATCAATTAATTAGTATATGGCATCTTATTCATGCTTAAAATATACAATTAATGAAAATGAAACTGGAAGTATATATCCTTTAAATAGGTGGCAAAAGAAGAGATTTAAAAGATAGATAAAAAAAATCTACTAAGTACCATTAGTTAGTTTATGTTAAGCAATGTTACATGACATATCAATTAATTAGTGAATCGTTATTTTTTGAGACGGACTATAAACTTATTCATCAATTAATTGATGTACTTTGTTACTATTATTTAGCATAAGCTAATCAATGGTAGCTTGTACACCACCTTAGTTCTAAATGGGTCTAGCTCAAGAATTATAACTAAGAAGATTGAATAGAAGACCTAAAGCTAGGGCAAACCCAAGGTATGTAGAATTTTAACGTCACACCAAGGTACGTATTGACTATATCTCCTTGAGAAAGTAATTTCAAGCTTCATGGTAACATAATATAAACAAGGTGGTGCTAAAAAATGTCAATTTTTTTGGTGTGAAATGTCTAATTTACCTTTAGTGACACTTTTTATGAGCATTTAATGCTCATTAATGCTTGACTTGAATGTCATTAATGCTATGATGTGATGATTTAATTTTTGTACTATAAATATTTGATATATGTATATTTTATTGGATAATATGAATTTGTTAATAAAAAAAGAAAAAGAAAAAATATTTTGAAAAGTGAACATAAATCATTTTCTTCTAACATTAACAAACTCTAACTTTCTAACAATCTTCTTCATTCCTTCATCAAAAAGATATTACTATTGGATTGAACATCCATTTTGAGATGTTAGCATAGTTTTTTTTTTTTTTTTTT